TTTCAGCACTGCCCATCGGTGGGACTGGCACAGCACAGATCGAACCTCGGCTACTGCATTCTGCCTAAACAGGTGCTTTAGTCCACTGAGCTATCTGGCCGGCCCTTAACAGACATTTTTTTAAGCAAGATTTTAATTTTAAGGATTGGCTAGGAGTGCTGTTGCTTTTCAAGAAATTTAACCAATTCAATGAAAATGTCATGTGGGTACGTACCATATGCTAAGGCAATAGGAGATGAACTGCAGGTTAGCTTCTATTTTATGACACAGAAATGATGCTAATAAACCTAGACAGTAGAGAAATAATGACCAATAAATGTACCTGGGGCACTAGGGACTTCAAAGCACCAGGTCACATACTTTCCTGTCATTCAGTAATAATATGCACAAAGCCGTCAAATGAAAAAGACCTAAATTATTAAGAATGGAATTTATTTATTTATGTATTTATTTATTTAAAGGCACAGGAAGTGGGCGGTTCAGCTGCGCCCGTCCCTATTGTTTGGTGTTGGGCCTCTCGAGGGGCATTTTTGGAAAGGCCGCCTGTGCAGGCCACAGTGACAGGGCCGCTCGCCCCTGCGCACCATCTCCTCGCTGCACATTTGCTCGCGTCTTCCGTGGCCTGCAGATCCAACATGGCATGGGAGGTGTCGGAGTACCTGAGCCAGAACCCACGGGTGGCTGCCTGGGTGGAGACGCTGCGCTGTGAGGGCGAGACTGATAAACACTGGCGCCACCGCCACGAGTTTCTACTTCGCAACGCTGGGGACCTGGCGCCCGCTGGTGGCGTCAACTCTGCTAACGCAGAGGAAGCTGCCTACACCAAGAGCGGGGCCCACAGTCAGCAGTTGCAGCAGCTCATCTCTTTTTCCATGGCTTGGGCAAACCATGTCTTCCTATGATGCCGGTACTCTCAAAAAGTTATGGATAAAATTCTCAGTATAGATGAAGGCATCAAAGTGACAGATGCTTCAATCCATACAACGAGACGAACTGGTTGCCAAGAAGGGGTAGAAGAGCCATCCAAAAAACGAATTGTTGAAGGAAAAAGCAATTCTGCAGTTGAGCGAGATCTTGCAAAAATTTCTGCCAAAACAGAACAAACAGCAAGAAAACAGTTCAACAAGTTCAGGGTCATCCGCCAAATCAGAGAGTAGTGGTAACTCCAAGAGGGGTTCTGGCGGGTCTGTTCAGAATAACTCTGCAAGTGAAGGAGGTGGATCTGTGTCTGGCCAGAGCAGCAGCAGCACTTCCACTCAGGTAACAGCAGGATCTGGAAAAGCTTCTGAATCTGAAGCTCCAGATAAAGATGGGTCAGCAACATTTGTTTTTTCATTGTTGAAGTCACATGGCTCAGTCCAGTGATTGCACACAACAAAGTGTATCACCTAAGAGTGCTTTGGAAAGCTCATCAGTCCCAGCTTCTCAGAGCAGCTCAGAGATTGAGGTGCCCTTGTTGGGCACCTCTGGAAGCTCAGAGGTAGAGTTGCCATTGCTGTCTTCTAAACTTAGTTCAGAGACAGCGTCAAGTGGGCTGACTTCCAAAACTAGCTCAGAGGCAGGTGTTTCGTCATTAGTATCCAAAAACAGTTCCTCTTCAGGCACATCATTTCTGACTTCCAAGAGCAGCTCAACAAATACATCATTGCTAACTTCCAAAAGCACTTCCCAGGTAGCTACATCACTGTTAGCTTCCAAGAGCAGCTCCCAGGCCAGTTGATCTTTGGTTTCCAAAGCATTTCCTTAGGAAGTGTGTCCCAGCTTGCATCTAAGATTAGCTCCCAGAGTAATAGCACCTCACAGTTGCCTTTTAAAAGTACTTCACAGTCAAGTAAGAGTTCAGTCAAATTCTCCTTTTGCAAGTTAACCAATGATGTGAAACAGAAGCAACCTTTCTTCAATAGACTGTATAAAACGGTGGCATGGAAGTTGGTAGCTGTTGGTGGCTTTAGTCCCAGTGTGAAACATGGAGAGCTCCTAAACGCAGCTATTGCGGCTCTAAAAGCAACCCTGGATGTGTTTTTTGTCCCCCTAAAAGAACTAGCAGATCTGCCTCAAAATAAAAGCTCTCAAGAAAGTATTGTTTGTGAATGCAAGTCTGTGTATTTGGGCACTGGCTGTGGCAAAAGCAAAGAAAATGCAAAAGCAGTTGCATCACGAGAAGCATTAAAGTTGTTTCTCAAGAAAAAGGTGGTGGTAAAAATATGTAAAGAAAATACAGAGGCAGTGAAATAGAAGATCTTGTGCTCCTTGATGAAGAATCAAGACCTGTAAACTTACTTCCAGCATTAAAACATCCTCAAGAATTACTATAATAAGTCCAAATAATCATTGCATATAATGTCTAGTGTTTGAAGAGAAAAACTGGCTTTTGTATAAAACGGGCTTTCACAAATTTTGTATTGCTTTTTTCCAGTTTTGCAGAAAATTTACATTCTACTTCTCTTCAGAAAAGCAGAAGTTGTAAATACTTGACAGTACATATTAAAAGGTATGCATTAACAGCATACCAGTATGCCATTTTATTTGCTGAAAAAAATGCTGTCTTCTATTTTTAATGTTACATTAGGTATGATGTGTAGCTCTGTAGTCTTGAAAATTTTTTACTACTTTCAATTTGATGAAAATGTATTAAGTTGTCTACCATGCTTTTTTTTGTAGCTGAATAAACCACGTCAAAGAAAAGGGGACCACAGTATTTGAATGTCTAAAAGTCTGTCAAATTTAAGGTTTTACGAATGTTGCCCATAATGTTGAAAATGTCTGTTAAAGAATAAAAGAAAAATAATTGCTTCAAACTATTTTTATGAGAAGTTGTAAGCATTTTTTAGATAAAAACCAGTGTAAAGTACTTATTATTTTATTCTGAAGTTGTTTAAAATTCACCATAATTCTGACCGCTGCTGATTCATTCATTAAGCGGGTCAATTTATGTTTTGAAGTAAATTTACACTTTTTATTGAATACATAAATGTGGGCTTCTATATTAAGCATATTTTATGACAACTACTAACAGATTGATTTGTTTAGAAATTAAATGCTTTAAGCTATTTTACCTTTTAAAATAAAATAAAGGCACATTCCAGCTACTTGCAAGGCTGAGGGTGAGAAGATCACATCAACCCAGGAACTTTAGAACAGGCTGGGCGACATAGCAAGATTCTATCTCCAAAAAAATTCTCCAAATAATTTTTTTAAGTGGAAAACATTAGGTTTTAAGGTAACTTTTACTGCCTAAAATCTCTTGTTCCTCTTTAGTAGGCACAATGGCTAATATGTAACAAGCATTTTTTACTATATATATGGCAGTAATTTTAAACAGTGAAATCAAATTCCATCTAATTCAAAATATAAATCAAAAAAGCTAACTTTGAACATTTCATATGAATGTATAAAACAAACATGTTTTAACCTCTACCAAATAATGTTTACAGATATCAATTTGGTTTTTCTCAACAAAAACTGAACTTTACACAGTGAACAGTGATCACCTCCACTGGTAGACCACATTCACTCAGTTCAAGCAAAGATCCAAGATATATCACCTAGGACTCTTCTTTCTCTCCTACTCCACACAGCCAAGACATCATGTCCTACAAACTTTATTTGGTGTAAAGTATATATGCTATATACTTTTACCACTATCACTCGGAATAAGCCACACAGTCATCTTTGGCCCTGTACAACTCCAGTAACCTCTGAACTCATTTCCTTGCAGTCATGACCCACCCTTCACTGCTTTCCATCACATCTGGACTGAAACCCAAAATCCCTAACATGGTCTATAAAGCCTCTCATAAAGTAATGTCCCAAACCCACCCTTCCTTCACTCTGGCCACACCAGCACCTTTACATTTCTAAGACTACATGAAGCCCACCACCACCTTTGCACCTCTACACTATTATTCCTTCTACCACAAATGGCATTTCTCTAGAAACCTTTCTGCTTCAGCCAGGCATAGTGGTACATGCCTGAAATTCCAGCACTGTGGGACACTGAGGCAGAAGGACCGCAAGATACAAACCAATAGGGCAATTTAGTGAGACCCTGTCTCAAAATATATAAGAAAATAATAGAAAAAAAATAATAGGGGCCAGGAATGTAAGTCAGTGCAGCAAAGGCCCTGGGGGTTCAATTCCCAGCACCAAGTAAATTGCTCCATCAGGTCACTCAGATTACATGTATTTTGCTAACTACACTGTTTCTTTACAATGCAAAAATACATAAAATGTAGAATCGGGCCGGCCAGATAGCTCAGCAGATTAAAGCACCTACTCAGACAGACAAAAGGATCAGGGTTCGATCGCTGGTGTGCTGTGCCAGCCCCACTCCCGGGGCATACTAAGACTTTGACTGAGACTGGGTGTGGTGGTGTACCTATAATCCCAACAAGGCTGAAAACAAGAGAATCACTATGAGTTTGATCTGTTTAGTGAGACCCTGTAGATCCTGTATTAAATACAATAAAAAACAATAATAATAATAATATAGACCTGAAATGTTTTTAAAGATGTGTTTTATACCCCTAAGCACTCTAAAGTCCCTAGGTTTGCTGCAAGACACCTAAAATTCACTTCTAATTTTACTTCCTTCAACCTCTAACTTTTAAATTTCCTCTAATGTTCACTTTTCCATTCTTCCCACGTTATACGTAATCAAAGAAAAGTTAACCAAAAACTAAAAATTTTTAAGAAAATATATTCAAATAATGTAAAACATCAGTGTCCCAAAGAATCAAAATACAAGGCCAGAAGTTAATATTTATAAAAAGAAAAAAAAAAAAAAAAAAAAAAAAAAGATGACAGGTATATAAGCTACTCTATCTCTGTATGTTTCATATTTACTTAGAATAAGATAATGAAAAAAGGGTCTATTTGCCTCACTACATTATATTCATTTAATTTTTTGCCAAAAATCTATGTTGATCAAAAAAACATGGCCCCTAATGTCAAGAGCTCAAGTGGAAAAGTAGATGCACAAGCAGCCTTGAGATACTCACTGTGCTATAGACTGCTGAGACCGTGGGAGTGAAAATTCGATCCTCGAGAGGCTGCTGCACAGGTCCTCTAGGAATTCTAGAAGAACAAGTTAAGGATAAGAGAATTCAAAAACATACTGCTTTAGCAATAAGAAAAAGTTACCACCAAAAACTTCTGCCAATTACCCAAGCTTTTGTACCAATTATCCAAGCTAATTCTAACTCTAATTAGTAGAGTTACAGACTTACTTTTCCACAGAAACTGGAAAATAAAGTATTTTAAATTGCCTACTGTGGGGGCTGGTGAGATGGCTCAGTGGTCTAAAGCACCTACTTAGAACAAGCTTAGCAAAGC